CCCGCTGAGGTGGGGGGGAGTCACGGGGGCATCACGGGGCCAGGCGTGTCCAGGGCCTGGGGCCGATGTGAAGCGAGAGCCGCGCTCCTCTCCGCAGCCTACCGCACGGATGAGGGGCAGCCCTGGGTCCTGCCAGTGGTGAGGAAGGTCGAGCAGATGATTGCCAGCAACACCAGCCTGAACCACGAGTACCTGCCCATCCTCGGCCTGCCCGACTTCCGGGCCAACGCCTCGCGCATCGCCCTGGGGGACGACAGCCCTGCCATCAAGGAGGGGCGGGTAGGTGCTGGGGGAGGGCGTGCCCCCTCACTGGCACGCGGGGCGGCGGGTCTCTCTGGGGCTCAGGGGTTTGTCCCGAGTGGCCTGGTGCGTCCAGGAGCTGCCGGGGTGGATGGACAGAGCTCTGTGGAAAGGCAGACGTGTGCTTTCATCCAGAGCCTGGGCCTCGGCGCAGGCAGGTGCAGAGCTGGCCATCGGCTAAACACCCCAGGCCGGCCCTGGTGTGGGTGGGGGGGGCTGTACCCGGGGTCCCTGCTGGGGCTGGTCCCTCAGGGGGGCCTGGGAGGCACGTCTCGGTCTGTGCTCCCGCTCGGGCTCGGCACCGGTGCCCCCGTCCCGTTGTGCTGGGCTCCCCGTGACCTCCGTGTGCTGCAGGTCGGGGGCGTCCAGTCCTTGGGCGGGACGGGCGCCCTGCGCATCGGGGCGGAGTTCCTGCGGCGCTGGTACAACGGGAACAACAACACGGCCACCCCTGTCTACATCTCCTCTCCGTCCTGGGGTGAGTGCAGCCGCCTGCCAGGGACGGGGCTGGTGGGGCGTGCAGGGGCCAGGCACCGGCCCCCTCTGGGTGGGGGGCAAGAGCTGGGCAGGAGGGGGCTTCTGTGGGAGCAGGGGAGGTGGTCACCTGCTCTCCGCCCCACGCCCGGTGCCCTGGGCTGGGCTGGGGCCAGCTGAAACCTGACGCCCCCACAGAGAACCACAACTCCGTGTTCACGGATGCTGGTTTTAAGGACATCCGGACCTATCGCTACTGGGACCCAGCCAAGAGGGGCCTGGACCTGCAGGGGCTGCTGGAAGACATGGAGGTGGGTAAGAGCGCACCGGGGGAAGCTGCTGTCAGGGAGCGGCTGGAGTCATCGGTGGTGGAGCTGGCTGGCTCTTGGCTTGGGGCTGGGCTGGGACGGGCTGGATGCAGCCAGATCTGGCCGAGCGCCTGCAGTAGTCGGTGGCCGAGTGGGGCTGGGGTCTCCGGGTGGCACCAAGGCCGTGCGTGTGGTGGCTGAGACCTGCTCCTTCCCCAGGCTGCTCCTGAGTTCTCCATCTTCATCCTCCACGCCTGCGCGCACAACCCCACCGGCACGGACCCCACCCAGGAGCAGTGGAAGCAGATTGCCACAGTCATGAAGGTACCAGCTGGGGGGGCGGAGGGGCAGGTCTGTGTGGGGCAGCTCAGGCTGGGCCCAGGTATCCACCCCCAGAGTGAGTGGGTGAGGAGTGGGGGCTGGGGCAGCCCCCACTCGGGTCCTGCAGGCTGGGGCCCGGGGGGCTCTGCTTTCAACCCCCTGGGGGGTGTGGAAATGTCTGGCTGGGGAGCAGCACCCTGATGCTGCCTGCCCTCCTGTCTTGGCTGCCCCTAGGGGACGTGCCTCGCACAGCTTTTGCAGGTGCCTGGTAATGGCTCCTGGAGCATCGCCTCCCTGGCCAGGCAGAAAGCAGGGCTGTCCCAACTGGGGCGCAGCAGGGACCGCTGCGGCGGAGGGTCCCTTTGATCACTGTCCTCCCGTGATGGAGTCCCAGAGCCGTGGGGCTGGCAGCGACCCCCAGAGGTCAGAGCTAATCCTCTCGGACTACCTCTCTCTTTGCAGCGCCGGTTCCTGTTCCCGTTCTTCGACTCGGCCTACCAGGGCTTTGCCTCGGGCTGCCTGGACCGGGATGCCTGGGCCGTGCGGTACTTCGTTGCCCAGGGCTTTGAGCTCTTCTGCGCTCAGTCGTTCTCCAAGAACTTCGGGCTGTACAGTGAGTGTCCATCCAGGCCTGGGGCAGGTGGCCTCTCCAGGCGGAGGCGCCATGCTGGGGGCAGCAGGGCTAGCGGCTCATGCCTGCCTGTTGCCCGCAGACGAGCGCGTGGGGAACCTGTCCGTGGTGGGGAGAGATGCCAACAACGTCCAGCGCGTGCTGTCCCAGATGGAGAAGATCGCCCGTACCACCTGGTCCAACCCACCCTCGCAGGGAGCCCGCATCGTGGCCACCACCCTCACCTCCCCCCAGCTCTTTGCCGAGTGGTAAGTGCTCCCAGGGTGGGGCCAGGGGGAGCAGGCTCTGGGCTCGCCATGTGCTCAGCCGGGCTTTGCCGGATCCCACTGATCCTCCAGGCACCTTCCAGGCTCACGCCTCTGTCCTCTGCAGGAAGGACAATGTGAAGACCATGGCGGATCGGGTCTTGCTGATGCGGTCGGAGCTCCGTTCCCGGCTGGAGTCCCTGGGCACCCCCGGCACCTGGAGTCACATCACTGACCAGATTGGCATGTTCAGCTTCACGGGGCTGAACCGTAAGTATCGGCCAAAGCAGATGGAAGATCAGTCCGTGCCCCTGCCCCTGAGCCTGGCTGCAGGGACTGGGACTGGGACGGTGCAGGGGCCCCAGATGGAGGCCCTGCTGACCTCACCAGGCTTTCCCTTTTGTGCTAGATGGAGAGCATGCCAGCCCCTTGGCAGTGCTCCTGCCCAGTGCCACACAGTCCCCAAGCTGCAGGGCTGGCAGGGAGCTGTGGGATCGCATCCCGTCCCAACCCTGTTTTTGAGGCAGGATAGGCCCCATCCAAACCACCCCAGACAAACTCCATGTCTGACCTTGGAGACACATGACACAGTCGCCCCTGACACAGCCCCGGGCATTGCCTGCACCTTTGCCCCGGGATACAGTGGGGCTGCGGCTGCCAACTTCCTGCTGCTGCCGAGGGGGGGTCACGGATGCTGCAGAGAGCCCAGGCCATGCTGCAGAGGAAGGGAAGACTCTTCACCCCCGCCCCCCAATCTGAACATGGGGTAAAATTCCTTCCTGTCCCCAGATCTCACATTGGTCTGACCCTGAGCAGAGGGGCAAGGCCTCCTAGCCAGGAACCTCTGGCTTCCCTCCCAGCGGGAGCATTGGCACAGCCCAGTCCCCACCCCCAGCCTCAGCTGTAGCACCCACTGCCTCCAGGAAGGCTTAAAACCCCCCTGATGCATGGAGCAGAAAAAGGGAGGGTGCAACCAGCACAGCCCAGAAGCCAGGGAAGTTCCCATGATTGAACCAGGCATCGCTGTGCCTAGATTATCCCCCCCACCAGTGGCTGCCCATGCTCTGCTTGAACACCTCCAGGGATGGAGAATTCACAACCCCCCTGGTATCTGCGGCACTGCCTCCCTGCTCTAACAGTAATGAAGTTTTTTACAGATCTCCAATTTAAACTCACTTTGCTGCAACTTCAGAGCATTGGCCCGTGTCTTCCTCTCTGCAGCAGAAGAGAACAGGGACTCTCCCTCTTCTCTACTGCAGCCCTTCAGGGGTTTGCAGACTGCTCTCATGTCCCCTCTCAAGCACCCTTCCCGCGAGCTGAACGCTCCTTCAGCCTCTCCTGTATGACTTGCCTGCTAAGCCCCTGCTCATCTTTGTTGCTGCCTCTGGACCCGCTCTCACTTCTCCACCTGCTATTTAAAATATGGAGCCCAGAACTGCACCCAGTGTCCAGGGGAGGCCTGACCACCTCCCGTGTCTTGCCCACGGTGCTTCTACCGATGCAGCACAAACCACATTGGCCTTGTGTGTCTGCATCACATGGCAGCCTCATGTTGAGTCTGGGATCTACCAAAACTCTCAAGTCCTCTTCCATGGAGCTGCCATCCAGCCAGGGCCCCCCATTTTGTATTTGCATGTTTGATTATCCCTCCTGAGCGGCACCACCTGTCTTTGTCCACACTGACCTGCATCCTATTGGCTCCAGCCTGGCTTTCCAATCTGTTAGGATGCTTCTGAAGGGCATGTTCACAATCCTCCCTGGTTTTATGTCATCCACAAACTTGCTGGAGAAGCTTCCTATGCCAGCATCCAAATCGTTAATAAACACGTTGAACAGCCCAGGCCCAGGACAGACCCCTGTGGGCCTCCACTCGAAACCTCCTGCCATTCTGCCATGGATCCATTACTATAATTACCCTTTGTTTGGGGCTGTTGAGCCAGTTGTCTGTCCACCTTGGAGCAGTTTTATCCCGCCCACACTTCTCCAGTTTGTTTAGGAGACGGTTGTACGGGACCTTGCTGAAATCAGATGCACAATATCCACTTCCTTCCCTTCATCCACCAGCACCGTTCCCTTCATCCTCTCGAGTCCTTTTCCAGTCCTCTGGTACGTGGCCCGTCTCCCACGACTTCATGCAAATCATTGCCGAGGGCTCTGAGATCTCTGCCAGTTCCCGCAGGGCCCTGGGATGCAGCTCACCTGGCGTTGCTGACTTGAACTCATGCAGCCCCAACGAAGTGCTCTGACCATCTCTCTTGTTACCCCCTCCCTCGGCTTCCCTCTTCCTTATCCTAATGATCTCTATTAGGTGTCAGGCCCTAGCTTTATTTTTTTGTGAAGACTGAGGCAAAGTAGCTGTTGAGCAGCTCCACCTTCCTTGCATCTTCAGTGAGGAGTTTCCCCTGGCTTGTTAACAGCTTCCTTGGTCCTTGTGTGGCCAACATACTTACAGACCCTCTTGTTGTCTGTAACCTCCTTCAGGTGGAGCTTGTTCTTCACCTTTGCCTTCCTGGCTTGGTCCCAGCAGGTCCCTGCTATTTCCTGTACATGGCCTTGGTGACCTGCCCCTTCCTCCGTCGCCTGTTGGTCTCCTCTTGCGTTGGGGGTGTTTTAGAAGCTCCTTGTGCAGCCGCCGCGTCGGGCTCTTGCCATTCTTTAGCAGGCTGTGTTGTGTTGAGTGGGGCTGGGGCTGGGGCCGCGCTGAGCGCTAGTTCACCAGCCGCGTGCCAAGACCCTTCCCTCCGCACGGAAAGCCCCGAGTTGCTCGTGATGACCGCCGAGGGGTGGGGGGGTCCCATGCTCGGGGCGTGACATCTCTGTGGTTGCCCCCACAGCTAAGCAGGTGGACTACATGATCAAGGAGAAGCACATCTACCTGATGGCCAGTGGGCGTATCAACATGTGTGGCCTCACCACCAAGAACCTGGACTATGTGGCCAGCTCCATCCACGAGGCCGTCACCAAGATCTAGTGAAGGCTACCAGCGGCCCACCCCATCAGACGCCACTAATGTCACCGCATGTGGTCCCTGCCCCCAACTCACCGCCCCCGGGGACAATAAAGATGGGAGCAATGGCTCTGTTGGGGACGTCAGCCTGCCGGCCTCTTGGAGCGGCCCCTGGCCCCGGGGCCAACCAGTGCCCTCGTGGGGGTGGGGCAGGGGCAGGGGCAGGGGAGCTGCCCACGGGGCCCACCTGGCACCCAGACGTCACCAAACCTGGCTCTTCCCGAACAGCCAAAGAGGTCCCGTGTGACCATGTGCCGGTGCAGTGCATTGTGGGGCTGCTGCAGCCTGGGGGCTGCACCTTGTTTTTGGGGTGCAGCTGGTGCTGGTTGCATCCGCCCTCTTCCGCCCGCCCCCGGGGGAAACCTCATGGTTGATTGCTGCTGCTTTATGTTGTGGAAAGAAAATAAATCATCTCCACCCACGTGGCCCTGCCCTGCTGCTCACGCCCGACTGCGTCTCCCTGGTCACCGCCCAGCCGCCAAGGTAAGACGGGACCTGGCCCCCGTCCTGCCGGGGGTGAGGAAAGCCCTGCTCCCCTCCTTCCCCCTACCCCAGTCAGACCCTTCTGCTCTGTGGCTGGTTGCTGTCCCCTGGGCTCTTACCCCCGTCCTCCCCGGCAGTGCGGATCAATGCAGCAGGGTCTCCGGCTCCAGCCGGGGCAGGAGTGAACGTGCACTCAGCGAGGGCGGCGGGAGAGGGCTCTGCCACCTTGCAGCTCCTCTGAGGGGCTGGGCATGGGGAGGAACCAGCCTGTGGCCCCTGCCGCGTTAGCAGGGCAGCGCCGTCGGTGAGGGAAGGACAGGTGTCACCCAGGGCCTGATGGCTCCCGGCCGGGGACACAGGTTAGCAGGCAGGGGTCACCAGTTGTGCCGCAGCCTGGGTGCGGGGGGACTGGCAGCAGGCCTGAGGCAGAGGCAGGAAACAAAACCGCCCACCTGGCGCAGCGGTTCGAGATGACGGCGCTGCCCTGGACTGAGCGGGGCTGGAGGAAACGCGTGCCCCAGGCCCGTCCCGATCCGCTGAGAGCAGCAGGCAGAGCCTTCAGGGAGGGCATCACTTTTAATGTAAAGTATCTCCATTGCAATCAGTCTCCACAGAAACCAGTTAAAAGTTCTCGCGGTACCAGCCCAGCCTGGCACAGAGGCAGGCTGGCACCGCAGGGGAAGGGGGAGCGCCATGCTGAGCCCCTTCCCTGCAGGGCGAACGCGGCTGCAAGCTGCCCCCGGGCACCGCTCGGGGAGGTCGGGGTGTCTCGCTGGGCGTGCGCATGCTGGCGTGGGGGCACGTGTGAGCATGGGTGCCAGGGCCCTGAGCACTGCGGGGACAAGAGCGGGCAGGGGGGCATGGCTCGCTGCCAGTCTGTGTGGTGCCTGGCACAGAGCAACGATGCTAAGGGCAGCTCGGGGCAGCCCCCCTGCTCCGGCCTGCCGGGACCCCCCAGCCAGAGGCACTCCCGCTGTCCCTGGAGGCAGAGCGCTGGGGAGCAGCGGGCCCGGGGCTGCCACGTCTGCCCCTGCCGGGGGGGCAGTCCCTTTTCGTGGGGCCCTGCGCACGGGGCAGGCTGGGAGCAGCAGGCAGCAGCTGGGTGCGGACACGCTGCCTCGGGCACGGCACCGGGCGGCCTTCATGCTGCAGGCCTGTGCAAGGGCAGCAGCAGTGAGTCTGGACAGCCCCCACCCCCACTGTGCCCCCCTGCAGGGGCTGAGCACCACGGACTCGGTGTCTGCCTTCGCGCTGCCCTGGACGGTCCTGGTCCTGCCCCTCCTGTCCCTACTCCAGCCCGGGGCCGGGGGGCGGCTGCACCCCCTTTGCAGCCAGCTGCCGGGCAGGGCTGAGGGGTCCCTTCGTTCCACGGCTTGGGGTCTCCTTCCGGATTCCTGCTAATCTCTTTCCCCACACAGGTGCTGGCGACCCTCTTTCCTCTAAGCGTCAGGCCAGGGCCTCTGGGGCAGCGCAGATGCACCCATGGAGCATCCCCCAGTGTTGGTGCAGGCTGGGCCGCGGGCCATGGCAGGGGCAGCTCACCTCTGGGCTGCGTGTGCCCGGCTGCTGCTCGCTCAGGTGATCAGGGGCGTCAGGGTGGAGCTCTCCTCCGGCGTCTTCTCGCCCTCCGCGGACGGCCTCCGCCTCCGCCCGCCTGTGGGCAGCACCTGGACCAGTTGGTGCCCCCCAGCACCCCAGGGCAGCCCCCTCCCACCCTCCTCCCTGCAGGGGCTAGTGCAGCAGGGAGGCACAGGCCCGCTCCTGCCCATCCCTGCAGAGCACCCAGGAGCAGGGCCCCCCTCCACCCTGGGGCCTTGAGCAGCCCCTGCCCCTCCAGGCCCCACAACAAGGTGGGGGTCCCTGCTTTGGGGAGGGTGGATCAGGATGGGGCAGCAGAGGTTGTGGTTGGACCCCGTTCCCTCCCCTTCTCTGTGCACCCCTGGCCCCATCTCTCCGGCCGGGATCCCCACCCTCGGGGATGGGCACTGGTTCCCACAGACCTGGGGCTCTCTCTGCCCACCACGACCACGTCCATGCCAGCCTGGCACCCTCCCAGCCACCCGGCTCCTTGCACCCACCCACCCACTCACTCAGTGTCCTCAGCAGCCGCTTGCCCAGGGTGTCCTCGCAGCTGCTCGGGGACGCGCTGGCCACTGCGTCCTGGCCGGGGCTCTCCGGCTCCACGGGGACGCTGCAGCACTCGCTGTCTGCAAGGGCACAGGTAAGAGCCGCGGGGCCCTGCCACCCATTGGCCTCCTTCCCTGGAGACCTCCCCGGGGGTCGTGCACCCCTCTGCCCCAGCCCCTGGTCTGGCTCCCGCCCCACGGACTCACTCTGCTTCTCGTTCGCCAGCTCCTCCCGGATGAAGGGCACCACAGCTGGCCGCGGGGACGCAGGGTCGCTGGGGCTCCAGGGCCCGTCGGGCGGGACGCCTGCAGGGAGATGCCCATGGGAGGGGGGCTTGGCAGGGCCAGGGGCAAGAGGGGAGCAGGGGCCGAGCAAGCGTGAGCAGGGGGCCTGTGGACAGGCTCCCACATGCAGGGGCCACAGCGCGGGCCTGTGACGGCTCCGTGGTCTGAGCGCGAGTGTGTCCCATTGGGGCCGTGCTGGGTCTGCCACCGGGTCGCGGTGCCAGTGGTTGTCCCCGGGCTGGGGCTGAGCGTGGGTGGTGGGTGTGGGCCGAGTCAGGGCAACTGCCTTGTGTGGCTCCAAGCTCGGACATGGGGTTTGTCTGGGCTGGTCTAGATAGGGCTGGTCCTGCATGTGACCCCCGGGGGTCCCTTCCCGCTCTAGGATCGACTTACCTGTGAGGCTGCCCTGCTCCGGCAGGAGCGTGGCGCTGTCGTCCCGGGGGGTCTGCGGGGTCCCACGGACCGTCGGGGCCTTGGCGGAGTCCCCGTCGTTGAAGGCCGCCACGTCGGGGGTCTGGGGGGAGCTGTCCATGCGGCTGGCCGCCAGCGCGTTCTGGTACTGCTGCCGCGTGACCTGGCAGCGGGCGCAGGCGAGTTGCTTGGCACCGCAGGGCCCAGAGCCCCCCCTTCTCCTCCCCCCATGCCCTGCCATGCCCTGGGGGCACCGGGACGTGACCTAACCCCCCCCAGGGTCTGCCTGGAGCTGGGCTCTGGGGGCCTTTGTCTCAACGCAGCCACAACACAACCCCAGGACGTCTCGCCCCGATCTAGCTCTGGGGGGGGGCCCCAGCGCCGTCTGTGCCCCGGCCCCTCGCCCAGCGCTGGAGCGACGGGTGCGGGCTGCGCTGGGTGCAGGTGGTGACTGGCGTGGCTGGGCCAGGGCTGGCAAGGCAGGTACCTTGACGAACTGGACGTCGCAGAGGATGCGGACGGAGTAGTCCGGGGTGTAGATGTTGTTGCTGCCGCTGTGCAGCGGCGTGGGGCTGCCCCCCGCCTCTGTGCGCTCCCGGCTCGGGGACTCGGCCCGGTTCAGCCCGCTGCAGCGCGACGGCGACCGGTTCACTGGGGTGCGGGGAGAGGGAGCGAGAGCCCCGAGTCACTGTCTGCACCACGGCAGGGCCCTTGCTCGCCCCAGCACCGGGCGATGCCCGCGGACGTCACCGTGGGCCTGAGCAGCCCCAGGGCCTTTGCCCCGTCCCACTATCTAGGGGCAGCAGGGCCTGGACCCTGTGCTCGGTGGGGGGGGAAGAGGGAGCCGAGGCTGTGCTTGGATGTGGAGGCAGGGTCACTTGAGGCCAGGCTGGGGCAGGGACAAGGGTACCACAAGCAGCAGGGCTGCGACTTGGCTTCACTTCCCCACACTTGGGGCAAAGGAGCCCACGATGGGTCATGCCTGCTCCCTGCAGGAAGGCACCTGGAGCCTCCCTGCAGCCCCCACCGGCCCCAGCCCGGCCTTGGCCGCGCAGTCACCTGGGGACCCAGCCAGCGACTCTCCTCTGCTGAAGGCGAAGTTGCGGGACACGGAGATGGGCACTGCGGAGAGAGCAGGAGGGGAGCGCCGGGTCAGGCGGGCGTGAGACCCACGGGCCCCAGCAGCACCACCAGCATCTGGCTCAGCAGGGAACAGCCTGGGGCTGGCACGGCAGCCCCGAGAGGCAGCACCTGCGCCCCGGGGCGTGTGCACTTGCTCTCTTGCACCAAAGGAACGCGGAGGGGCTGTGCAAGGCCTGGGGACACGGGCCTGGCGTGGGAGCTGCCTGCTTGTGGCCTGGGATGCCCATCCTGTGGCCCTGGGGACCCCAGCACCAGGAGCCCTGCTCATGCCCTGCAGACGCTTGCTCCCTGCCACGGGCACCGAGCTGCGGCCGAGGCTGCCCCCTCGCTGGCTTCAGGCTTGCGCTGCTGCAGTGCAAAGCACTGGGGCCAAACCGGCCCATATCAGCTCGGTGTCTCCATTGCTGCACTAATGACGCTGCTTTGCTTTCAGCCCCAGGCTCACACCAGGCAGGAATCGCTCTGATTCTCCAGGGTTATGGATTGTATGTGCACTGGTAGCTTATTCAGTTAGTCTACAAGGTGCATCTCTACCCTGACCTCAGGCTAACTCAGCTAATGACCTCTCTGCTCTTGGTGCATCTGTGCTGGGGGGATGTGGCTACTTCGGGCAGCAAGTTCCCGGGGCTGGCACGACTGCATGCGGGGAGCGTGGGCATCCCTAGTTGGGGGTCTGGCTGTCCCAGCACAGGATGGCAGAGGCTGAGGGCAAAGCCCAGGGCTGGTGCTGCTGGCTGCCCCAGTCACAGCTCTGTTCCTCTGCCCAGGGACCCAGGGCAAGGGTGAGGCTGGGGCAGGGAGAGGAGCCCCCATCAGCAGGCAGGACCCCAGCCCCCTCCTCCCCGCATGCATCCAGTCCAAGGCAGCCCTGGGTCCTTACGCAGGAAGGCGGATCCGCCCAGGCTGCTTCCCTTGCGCACGTCGCTGTCTGCAAGCAGAGGCGGGAAGGAGCGTGAGTCTCCCAGCTGGGACGGCAGCCCCTGTGCCTGGGGTCGTGCTGCCCCTGCGCCCCCAGAACGGGGCCTGGCTGGTGCCGCCCGTACCTGAAGACAGGGCGGTCATGATGGCCGGGACCCCGTAGTAAGTGAAGGCGCCGTTCTCGAACCGCAGCCCCTCCTTGCCGATCTCCACCTCCACCTTGCCCTACGCGGGGGAGATGGGCTCGGACCAGCAGCCCCTGGCCCTGTTCCCAGCCCCCCACCCCTGGCCAGGGGTCCTGAGGCCGAGGGTAGCTGTGCAGCACCTTGAGCCCACTCGTCACGAGTCCCGCATGCGGGGCGGTGCTGAGGGGCCTGGGAGAGGGAGCTCAGGGCTGGGCTGACGCAGGGGCTGCGGGGTAGGAGTGGGGGGCATTGGCAGGGGAAGGCCAGGGCTTGGTGGTCGGGGGGCTGCGGGTCGGGAGCGGGACGTGAGTAGCGGTGGGCCCAGAATCAGCAACCCCATGCATGCATGTGCGTGTGGTGGGGGTGGGCTCCAGCTATGACCAGTGGGTGCCACTGCCCCCTCGGATCTGCACGCAGTTAACACCCATTTTCTCCTTGCGCTGCACAGACTCTGACTCTGACGCCCTGGCAGCTGTGTGGGAACTGGGCCCATTTCACAGACAGGAAACTGAGGCACAGAACGACAGCTCTGGGGACACACATGGAGATTGCAGCAGAGCACAGGAGGGGCCGGCTCCATGTCCTGCCCACAGGGATGCACTGCCCTTTTCCAAGGAACCTGACCCCCCTGGGCTGGATCCCCAAGGAAGGGGCACCCGATGCACCTGCAGGATGAGGATGAAGTAGTCGACGGGCCGGTGGCACTGGTAGAGGCAGTGCTCTGCAGCTCGCCGGTTCTTCTGGTCAAACTTCAGCTCCTGGATGACGTTGGGGTGCTTCAGAAGCCGCAGCAGGATCTTCTCCGAGAGATAGGGCGTCTTGAAGGGCTCGATTTCTGCGGGGAGGAGAGCACGGGGCTCCTGGGGTGGGCAGCACGTGCGCCCAGCTGGGATGGGGCTGTGGCCCTAGGCCGTGGCTCCGCCGTGGTGGCCATTGTGGGGTAAAGGAGCAGGGTCCTAGAAACCTTAGAGCCCTGGGGCAAGCAGGGAGCTGCGGGGGCACAGTCCAAACCAGCCCAGACAAACCCCGTGTCCGACCGGCGTCGGGGCTGGCGCACCAATACCTGTTGCCATGAACTGGTGCGTGGCCAGAAGAAGCTGTGGGGAGATCTTCACCTTCATCTCGCTGTCCGAGAGCCGGAAGATGGAGAAGTCGTGGGGCTTCCTCCCGTGGTACGGCACCCGCTCCTTCCGCCGGTTGTCGGCTGCGGGGACACAGGGCGGTGGGGTCGGGCTGGGCGGGACGTGGCCGCATGTGGCTGCTGTCCCTACCTCGTGGGAGTCTCCTGGGAAGTCTGGGGTGGGGAGACCTGTCCTGGGCCTGACAGGGGGTCTCGGCACCTCCTTCTTCCATGGAGCGCGTGCTCCGTACCGCACGAGACACCCCGGGGAGCAGGGACGGGACAAGGGCACCCCCCTCCCAGCGGCTCAGGCCACACCTCTCCCTGCCTTGGCCCGTCCGTCTGTCTGCGCTCACAACCGCGACACTGACTGTACAGGTCTGTCTCATCCAGGATCTCGGACTTGATGATCTCCTCGATGACGTCCTCCAGCGTGACGATGCCCATCACCTCGTAGAACGGGTCCCCCTTGCCCTCGTTGTTCACCCGCTGCACAATGGCCAGGTGCGATTTACCTGTTGGGAGGGAGCGCAGCAGATATGAGATGCCCCCGCCAGGTGGGACGGGTCTTTGGGTTTGTCCTGGTGCCGCCTCGGCCCATGCCACCCGCATAAGGATACCTGGGGCCAAGGGAGCAAAATGCCTTCCCCGCCCCTGGGGTCCCTGTGCTGGGAAATGCCCATCAAGCAGCCCAGCTCCATGGCCAGCACGGGGCTCCCGCCCAGCCTGCTCTCACGGCCGCTGCACCGATGGCAGGACAACCGGAGGGGGCAGAGCCCCCAGGCACCAGCCGTGGGGTCTGCCTGCTTCTTGCCTGACCCCAGACCTGCTACAGGACGGCTGGGACCACAGGGGCTGTGCCCCTGCCCCAGGGTGCAGGAGGAAGAGGCGTGGGTTTGCAGAGGGTCTGCAAAACGTCGGGCTCTCATCGGGCAGGCGTGGCTGCAGCACTGTGCGCGGGGACCGAGGCCGTGTCCCCACCCTGGGCTGCAGCACCGCCTTCATGGCCCCTGGGCATGGGGGACTCTCCCGGGACCTGTAGGCAGCCTGGCCTGGCCAGCTGGGATCCCTGGGCATGCCAACTGGTGTGGGCCCATGCAGCAGGGCAGGTGCGGCGGGGCGGGCTGCGTGGTGCCCGGGGAAAGCTCTGTGGCTCCAGCTGAGAAGCCTCCGTGGTCTCGGCCGTGGCAGGTGCAAGCACCCGTGTCCCGCTAGCCCACGGGAAGGGCATCCCTGGGCCACGCAGGATAACACGTGGGGAAGCAGCAGCCTGCTTACGCATGGGGCACGGTCCCCCACCTGCTAACAACACGACACAGGCTGTGGTGGAAAAGCGGGCGGCGGTGGCCTGCGAGACCCCTGCCGTTACCTTGCGGGCACGATGAGTCGGGACCACTCGGCCCTGCTCCTCGTGCCGGGTCCCTTAGCCAGCGCTCGGGGCGGGATGGCATTTCGCCCCTCGCCCCACGGCAGCTTTGTGGCTTTTCTTGCTGCCAGGGCAGGAGTTTGCCGACAGCGTTTTGAAGGTCGAGAGCCGGAAAATGAATTGGTTCTGGCTCCGCTGCCCGGATCAGACCGGAGAATCCTAACGGGCCCGCAAGAGCGCTCCCTCCCCGCGGGGCCTGGGCCTGGCCCAGCAGGACCGTCCACACCTCCTACTGCTCGCTCTCCCGGCTGGCCGCCTTTCCGTGGACGGCCCCGGAGCCCTTTCTCATCAGAGGCAAACCATGTGCTTCCCTCCCGCCCGCTGGCGCAGGGGCTGATTTTAACGGCAGATGCATGTTTTTGCAAGCTCAGCCACTTCATCTCGCAGCCCCGGCAGGACTCCTGCACGGACCCACCGGGCTCAGGGATTTGCTGCTTTTTAAATTACCGGCTCGTCCCTGCACTGCGTCTCCTGACACCTCTGCCTCTGAGCGCACCTCCTCCTGGCAGCCGAGGAGGTGAGGATGGGAACCCCCTGCTCTGAAATGCCGACTCAGGCAAAGCGATCAGGCAGAGTTTCGCCTTCCTGAGCTGCCCCCCGTGACCCAGGCTCTGCGTTTTTGCAGGCTTCCTGCATCTGAAGTTCCTCCAGAAATCTGCTTTCATGCCTTTGGCTTCTTCCTTGCCAAAATCCATGCAGGGGCTCCCAGCCTCTTTCTTCCTTGTTGCGTACTCGGTGCTCCCATCGGGAGCTGCCCCAGGCGGGGGCGATTCCCACATCTTGAGGGTTTCTGTCTGGCTTGGACAGCTCCTCATTCCCTCTGCGTGTTTAAAGTTTAAACCCGATTGCCTGGCCGTGGCAGCAGCCTTTCGAGCCAGGCAGCGCTGAGGGAGTCACTTGACTTCTTGGCCCATTGCCATCTATCTAATTCCTTCTAAACTCCTCACTCCAGAGGTGTTAATGACTTTCTCATTTTTTAAGGGTCTTGATGCACCACCGATCCAGCCGACCTTTGTTCTGCTGCCTGTTGGCTGCTCCTGGTCACAGAGCTCCTCTTTCACAGCCCTGCAGAGTGTTTTTAACTCATCGCAATGACATTCTCTGGGTTTCTGCTTCCATCCTAAACTGAACAAACAGCCCTAAACCACTGGTGTGCCAGTAAAGCTTCCAGTTTAACTGGAGACACATCTGTGTTGTGCTGTATGGGATGATGCACCACACTGTCTGCACCCCCTTTGGAAACCCTAGATGTGCCCATGGTGAGGGAAGCCAGGGGCAGTCTTACACAAAAATGTGTGGGGAGACGGCCTGCGAGTCAGCTTCTGGCCCTCGATGCCCCTGCCCCGGCTTCTCGCCCGTTGTGGCCATTCAGACCAGTTCCTCGGGGACTTGGACAGCACCGAGCATGTCAGGGGCAGGACTGTGCTGCCATTAAAACCGGATCTTCCTTGGGAACTTGCAGTCTTGACCCCGTCCTTGCTGTGAGGCTGAGAGGACATCTCGCACCTTGACCTTGTCAGAGTTTCTCCTGGAAGAGGATGGAGAACTTCCCGCCGTCCCCGCCTCATTCAAGCATCGACGGCAGTCTCAGCCGGCGGACTCGCTGCTTCCCCCGCTCAGCGAAGAGGCTGTCGCATCCCTGCGCGCGGCCCTGCTGCTCTCTGGGCCATTTAAGGCACAGTCGAACACAAATCGCTCTGCCTGCATAACGGGTCTCAGGCCATCTCCAAACCAGGGACGTCTCATGGGTCAGACCTGCTCCACGCTGTCACGTGCACAGCCAGGCTTCCCGTCTGCTTAGCGAGCAATAGCCCGCAGCGCCAGCCTCGGGAAAGTGGGGCAGAGTTGGCTACAGCCCTGCAGCAGCTACATTTCATCAGGATTAAAACTCGAAGTCTCACTCTCTCACGCCTGGTGTTTGCCAAAACCCACGCCTGAACGCTGGGGCCATCTGGTCTCTGCCGCGGCCTTGGCGAGCAGGGAGCCCTTACTGCTTGTGGCCAAGAGCGGGTTGTTAATGGCATTTACATGCAACCCCAGCCCACCGGGTCCTCACAAGGACGGGAGGCGCTACTCAAAAGCAGCCAAAGGCCAATAGAGGAGGCACTTACTACTTTTGGGCCCGAGCCCTGCTTTTACACCGTAAATGATTCCAGAGATGCCGCAGAGGAATGGGATTTCCGAGTCCACATTCAAACAGCAGCAAACCACATCAGTTAAGAACACCGCAGGAACGTTTCCCTGGGCCAAGATCACTCGGCACCGCTGCGGCCGGGGTGCCGCGGGGAGGCTCGGGAGCGGGCAGGGCAGCCTGCTCTCCTAACAGAAAATAACCACTTGTCGCACTGCTCCGAGCCCCGGCTGCAGGAAGCTATCGGCTTTCCACCCGAACGCCTACGGCAGAAACGCAGCAGGTGCCCCCAGCGGCAGCGGGGCTGCGAAACTGCCCCAACTAATGGCTGCTCCAGACCTGGGCACAGTGCATCGATTCCTGCCCATGATCTAGCAAGCAGGCGTCCGGGCTGTGTGCCCCCGCGCGCCAGGATCCCCTCCAGCGGGAAGGTCCCAGGCAGCTGGGTATTTGGGGGGGCACTTCCACTGCAGTCCCCTCCGGCTGCAGTGCTGATGTGTTTTGAACTTCCCATTGGCACGTGCACAATCCTGCTCCTGACACCAGTTGACCCTCGACGTCCTCCTCCCAGGGCTGGACTGATCTTGCAAGGAGTTTGCTTGCTTGCTTTTGCTTTTTTGGGGGGGACTGGCTCTTTAAATTTGGCAGAGAATGGAAAGTCCGAAGTGGTCATTTTTGCACCTGGCTGCTCGGCCCCTCCTCTTTCCTGCCGCTGGTGAGACCCTGGGAGTCCATACATTTTCCCTTCTTATGGCTTTGCTCATAGTGCAGCTTCATGGAGCAGCTGCTGTGGCAACCTTGAGAAGGCCTGGGAGAGGAGAGGAGAGCACGGAGCAGAGCTTGGGCTCCGGCTCGGGCTCCTTCGGGAGGCTTTCAGGCAGGTGAGGTGCAGGAGGGGGTCTGTTTGGGTGCTCTGAAGGCCGCGATGCATGACCTGGTGTATGATATGGCATGGGAGATCCCTCTCCTTCCCTTTGGGGAGGAGCTGTGCTTTTGTGTCTATGAATCTACAACTCTGTTTTGGCATGTTAAGGCAGAGGGACTTATTGCTGATTTAAACCAGGGTGAGGCTTAAATCAGAAAGACCAATGTGCATGCTTGTGCTATTGCAAACACTGCTTGATATCTGTAATGAACCCACTCCCGAGTGCTCTTTCTGTTCCTTGGGAAGGTGGCTTGAGTTTTACAAAGCTAGTACAGGGGAAGGGGAAGAAGGGGGGAAGCTACTGAAAGAAAACCCTTGACCTGCAAGCACACAGTTGCTCGACGTTAGTCCTATGACCAGCCCCGCTGACTTCAGCAGGGCTGCCTGTGAGCTTGAAGTCGCCCCTGCGCGAGTCTGCTGTAACGGGGCTGCGGTGGGAAAGTTTGCTCTGTTTTTCCTAATGGCGCAGTCTGTCAGGACAGCTGCTGCAGTGAGACGCTAGCTCTTCCAATACGACAGGAGCTGGCACAGACACCTGTGTGCATGTCAAGGCCACCCTCTTCAAGTGCAAAAGCCTCAAGTTGGGTTCCTAAATGCAAACTTGTGCTCCTGAGGCTGGAACGGCCAGTGCCTCCTGCAGCTGGTCCTGTGCTTCCAGCCCCGATGGAGAAGCCTGCTCTGCTCTAACTAGCGCGGGTGATGCAGTGCGCCCTGTCTGCTTGTGTGCTGTGCCTTGGGTGTTTCCCCAGTAAGGGCGTTAATCGGTCTCGGGGGTTGCCTCTTTCAACACAGCTGAGCATTTTTAAGTGTAAAACTTCTTATTAGAAAAGCAACTTCTCTCTCAAGTCTGAAACTGTGCTACGGCTTACAGAACTAAAGACACGAGTACAAACTGCACACACCAGCAATTCAAGACCAAATAAAACTAAATATAATTATATGAAGCCTGTAAGGTAGGGCCCTTCCACACTCCTCCTGCTCTGTGCCATTTCTCCTGTTTCTTTCAGCTGGGCTGGATTTCCCCTTCCTGCAG